AGCTGCAGAATCTAGTAGGCATGCAATAGCATATACAGAAACTTTACTTCCCCTTCCTTAATGGAGTGGTTTGATCAGGCACTTATTATTTTTCCCCTTAGCTAGTTCTTGTTGTTGTTAAAGGCTCTAAACTTTCGTAAAACCTAATAATTTTGGAAAATACTTTCACACAAAATTTAGCATTTCAAATAGTCAGTTGCAAGTTTTGTTTTGGCGTCATCTTTCTAACAACCAGCCAGCCTCGTGCTATTTTCGTCTTGATGTCAAATACTTCACTTAAGCTATAGCTTTGTCATTAGTGAATGTGTTACTAATTAATTTTATTTGTGCTTCTAATAATTGCAGGACATAATGTCACATGCTCTTCTTATGTCCTGTTTTTTAAATAATACATCACTGAAGGAATATCGTTATGTTGAACTACCAATCTCATTGTGATTTTCGTTTTTTGTTCTTCCCAAATTGCTGTGATAGCTGCACTTATATTATTGAGTTTTAATCTTTTTAATTTTTATAGCCCTTGTGCTCATCAATATAAGTTGGGATATAATGCCAATCATGCCTGCATCTTTCTAGTAAATATATAATTTTTGTTTAAAACCAAATATGTTGCCCCGGTTTATGGATAATGTCCATATATTTCCCCTCGTCACTTCAAATCCAATCATCAAATTAATTTCTAAATTAAAAAGATGCGTAACTCCCACAATTGTCAAACTCGCGAGTTGACTTTCCGAGTTTAATGTTTTTACGTTTTGTTCTCGCTTTTAAACTGTTGATAAGTGTAAACTCAGTTAAACTTACGAGTTCATTTATCGAGTTTACCATTTTTACATTTTTAGTTTACAAAATCTTGTTAACTTACTTTCAAACTCGTGCTAAAATTTTGTGTTTAATGACATTATATATGAGTTTTATAGAAATTTCTTTGTTAAATGTGATAAATTATGAACATTGATGGACATAATTTCAATTATTTAAATTTAAAATATATTTAAATAAATTTTTGTCATTTTTTATATATTAATTATGTGATTATATACTTTTAATACTAATTTACTTGTATGCTTACACTTTTTTGAAATAGCTAAACATATTCTAAACTTCAAAAAGTTTCTTTTTCTTGTGAATAAGTTGTCATCATTTTAAAATCAAATTTCATAAAATGATTTGATTTATTTGATTTTGGATAATAATTTGTTCAATTAAATTCTAAAAAATGGGTTAATTTAGATTTTATTAATGATTTAATTTATATTATATGTGTTAATATTCTTAAAATATATATTTGATAAGAGAGTATTTTCTATTATACTGAGCTTTGATTCTCATATGATTATGTTAAACTCTAAGACTTTTTTTTTATTAAGTTGAATTCAAATAACTTTTTTTAATAAAAAGATGAATTATATTAAAGTAAGATAAATTTATATACCCAGATTATTTTATTATTTTATTTTTTAGGACTATAGTTTGAATTTGAATTTATTATTATATTATTTGATAATTTTTATGAATAGAATTAGAGTTTTCAGTTGTATTTTAATTTTGGTATCAGAGCCTTGGTATCAAAGCCTTCTTCTACTTGTTAGAAAATTGGCATATGAAAAACATTCGTAAATGAACATGGTAAGTTTGTTTTCTTTTGAGGCTAGGATCATCTTTTATGAGATCCCTAATAACAACTCTATTATTTGATGAGAGATCGATTATAATAACTCAATTACTATTGAATTAAAATAAGTATTAATTACCGGGGTTTGAAAGTGAAAATTGAGGGCCAGAAGAAAATGCTGACAGAATCATGTTAATACTTCATTCACCATAATCCATGTTGAATACAGCGTATACCTTCTATGTTGAAGAATATTGAAATATTCTGGCTGCATACGTATCTTGTTGTGGGCATGTTATTCCAACAAAATGATAGAAATGCATCTCCAGTTGCCAAGCTCATGCGGCCATGGCAAGTGCAATGAAATATCACAGTGTCATTGTCATGTTTGCACAATTGTTTGAGGATTGAAGTCATGTCTCTGAGCATTGTCAGGGTCAAAATTTCAACAACAACTTGATGATCAGCCATCTCACTGAGAATAATCCTCTTGACCTATGACAGGACAAAAAGAAAGAAATAGATTAATTATTAGATAGCAAGCAAGAGTTATGGAAACAAGAGAGTAAAAGCCCACCTTAGTCACGCCCCTTGTATAACACTGCAGAGTTAGTCGATAAAAACAGATTATACATATGAATATATACACACACACACACACACGTGTGTGTGTGTACGTGGAGGCACGCGCGTGCCACAGATGCATTAAGCTTCACACTTCTTGTATTTTTCAAAGAATCAAATGAAGTAAAAGGACAACTCTGGTCAAAGCAGAAGCACAGAGATTTTCATAGTACGTAGTTGATTTACAGTTGATTCGCTGTATCTAATTTAAACGAGATTAAATTTACGATTTTTTTTCAAAAGTATATAACGTTAAAGTAAACATTGAAAACATAGCCTTTAGTTGTTAAGGTTTAAAATTTGCAATTTTGTTCTTGTATTTTTATTGGTGTTAAAATATGACATAAATGTCTTGTCCAAAAAATTATGAAATAAATGATTATACGATCATTTTATATTTTAAAACAATTTATTTGAATGTATTCAGAGCATGGCCAAAGTAGGAAAGAAAAGGCGTAAGCCAGAAAGGTCTGAAAAGTAGTCTGTTTCTTTGTCTGTATGCCTGATCATTTATTTGACATTTTAAAATCAGAGAGACCGTTGGTTTTTCACTCCTTTAATTTTCACTAGCTTTTTATTCAAAAAAGTCTGTATTTTCTCTCGAAGGTTACAAGGTGATACGGTTATTTAATACTCTCTCCGTTCCTTATTATAAGAGACATTTGATATTTATGGTATGTTCCCATATATAAGAGACACTTAAAAGTTGTCTCTATTTTTTGTATTAATTTCTATTTTACCCCTATTTATTTTGTCTCCAACTCATACTCTCTCTCCCTCCCACTTATCTTTCTTTCAATAATTTAATTGTTCTCTCTCATACTCTCTCTCCTTATTAATGGGGGTATTATTGGAAAAAACATTATACTTTTTACATATTAATTATCCTCAACTAATTTTAACTGTTTTTTTATCAACGTAATTTGATTATTTGTCTCTTATAATAAGGAACAGAGGGAGTATAAAAGTTTATTTTATTTTTATTTTAATATTAAATATAAGATTTTAATATATTTATATTTCATATTTATATTTTTTAGGTAATCTTTGTGATAATGGTAGTTCTAATCAATACATTTTATTATCAATGATATTTTTAAAAAAACATATATTTATTTCAAATAACTAACTTAACTAATTTTTTTTAATCTACTCAAATTAGTCAACTAACTCTTATATTAAGGACTTGAGGTAGTATTATTTATGATTTTTTTAGTAACATAAATATATTAATAATACCTTGATTTGTACACCTGTATATAAATAAAAACACTTTAAACAAGAAACGGGGTGTGTGCGCCTGCCTAAAAAGTGACTAATAACTAGTAACAAAGCTTAACAATTAAACAATTATTGGGACTCATGAATGAATGATGAAGCACATAATTCCAAAAATAATAGGACCGAAGGTAGTGTGTATGTATGTACATGTGTATGATATACTAAGTCATACACACACACACACATATACACACACTACCTCCGGTCCTAATAATTTTTAAACTTGACGTTCCCACGCATGGATTCATGCATGAATACATACATATTTTATGAATGAAAAATTTAAAGTTGAATCTTGATTCTGAAAATTTATAGAGTTTGTACTACCTCCAATCTTAAATAAGAGCTAGTTAAATATTCAATTTGTTTTTAATATGAGACTTGAATCTATCTTATTTATCATATTTATTTATTTTTTCTCAAAATAGTTCCATGGTGTTTACACATGCTAAATGATTTTAATTCTAATGCGCATAATTAATAAGAATATTTTAAAAAAGACATTACCTATTTATTATAAATAATTAATTTACTAATTTTTTTAAATATTTACAAATTAGTTATTTAATTTTTATATTAAGAAGTAGAGGTAGCGTAAAATGACAACATAAAAATTTTCCATTTAGTGTTCAAGAAGAGCTTTTTCTTTTTAAATTAGGAAAAATTCAAAAAGAAGGAGGAGGAGGACTGAAGAGGACGGACACTGCAAATAACCGGCAGTCATCCCTCAATTAATACCCTCATTAAGTTGGAGATCATGTTATTAATGTTGAAGAGACAAAGAGGCTTATAGTTATGACTACAAAATTTTATTCATTGATCTAGATTTTTTTAATTCTTTGATCACACTTATTATTTTATTATTATTAGTTGTTAATTAAAATGTGCATACGCACTTGTAAGTTTCCGCATGAAACACTTGTATATTTTTGTATAAGCTTTTATAATATAAATTTGGATTTATAAATTTTTATATGCACACTTCTTATTTTACTATTGCTGGTTTTTAAAATTTGGATTTATAATTTTTTATATGGACACTTATTAATACGCAAGGCATTTGTAAATTCTTCCTAATAAATATAAACAATTTGAGCTAAGTTTTATTCTTAATTAATTTAATATCTGTTAAACTTGATTTAGTAAATAAATAAATTTGAACTGACCCCAACCTCTTCTGGTGATTTGCTACTACTTGTTATCTATTTCGATCACGGATCTGGTATTTGCCTCTCTCCTCTCTATTTACAAAAATTCGATTTTAAAAATTTAAAATTATCCTTGTCAGATTTTATGTATAATCTAAGTATTTTCTGGCCTTCGGCAAACCATCCATCGTTCAAGCATTGAAATATCTCATTCAGTATCCAAATTTGTTAGAGGACCGATTATTTAAGATTTTTTCCAGAGATCTTCATTCAGCACAACCAATAATCTTGTGTGTCTTTTCTCTAGATTGAAGAAACCAGAGCCAGCAGCTATGGAGAACCTTCCAGAAGAACTGAAACTGGAAATCCTCCTACGCATGCCCATCAAATCCCTGCTGCGTTCAAAGTGTGTTTCAAAGTCATGGCGCTCAAGAATCTCACACCCTAATTTCCCCAAGCTGCATGCTCAACTATCTCCCTATTCCCAACACCCTACTCGAATCCTTATCACATCTTATCCTCAAATGAAATCCCTGGATATCAACGCATCCCTTCACGATGATTCTGCCACTCTAAACCTCGATTTCCCCCCTCTACATCCAGAAAATGATATTGTTTGTTTCATGGGTTCAAAATTTTCATCTGTGGAATCCTGTCACTGTTGCCTACAAACAGATCTCACTCCCTCCTCATTGCAGATCTGCAACCCCGTTTGCCTTTTGTTATCATGAATCTCTTGATGACTATTTAATTGGCCTCTCTTACTATTCAAATACCCACTGGGGAAGGACCGATTTTGAGGTTCTCTCCCTGAGAACCAATTCCTGTGAAAAACTCGATCTCAATCACCAAGTAGGATTTCGAAACCGCGACACAATCTTTAATGGTGCTATGCATTTCGTAGCTTATCCGCATGAATTACCTACTTCACCGGAATTTATTGCATTCGAAATAACAACAAAGGAGTTACGAAAAATACCTTCCCCCCTAATTTCAGAAAATTAAAATGTTACTGTACAGAAGTGGGAGTGCATGAAGGTTGCCTTGCTTTAAGCGGTGAAATAATGGGTGGAGTACAAGTATGGGTGATGAGAGAATATGGAGTGGAGTCATCTTGGACGAGATTGATCTCTACATCTCGTTTCTGTGATATTGGTTATATTCATTCCTTCCTATCCTTCACAGAACGTGATAAATGTTTTGCAACTTGTCTCATACAAGATCGTGGCCAAGAAGTATTATTAAAATGGAATTATGAAGGAGAACTGCTGGAGCATCGCTTATATGGTCCTCTTGTACGCGGGTGGGAATGGCCTCCGTTTAGGGTGGCGTCTTCAGTTGCAGAATCTTGGAGGCGTGCAATAGCTTATACAGAAACTTTGCTTCCCCTTCCTTAATGGCGTGGTTTGATCAGGTACTTATTATTTTTCCCCTTGGCTAGTTCTTGTTGTTGTTAAAGGCTCTAAACGTGCGTAAAACCTAATAATTTTGAAAAATACTTTCACACAAAATTTAGCATTTCTAATAGTTAGTTGCAAGTTTGTTTTGGCGTCATCTTTCCAACAACCAGCCAGCCTCGTGCTATTTTCGTCTTGATGTCAAATACTTAAGCTATAGCTTTGTCATTAATGAATGTGTTACTAAATTAATTTTATTTACGCTTCTAATAATTGCAGTGCAGGACATACAGTTCTCAGCCTCCATGTCGCATGCTCTTCTTATGTCTTGTTTTTTAAATAATACATCATTGAAGGAATTGTTTTTTTTCTTTCCTAAATTGTCATGGCTGCACTTATATTATTGAGTTTTAATCTTTTTAATTTTTATAGCCCTTGTGCTCATCAATATACGGTGGGATATAATGCCAATCATGCCCGCATCTTTCTAATAAATATATAATTTTTGTTTAAAACCAAATATGTTGCCCGGTTTTATGGATAATGTCCATGTATTTCCCCATGTCACTTCAGATCAAATCATCAAATTAATTTCTAAAAAGCTGTGTAATTCCCACAATTCTTATTTCCCCACGTGGATTAGGAAACGCAAAAACTAAAATGTGCTAGAGAAAGCGAAAAAAAAGGACGCAACGTATGTCCGACTTAATTGTAAGGGGAATGAGAATATTTAATAAGCATGTTTAATTAAATTAAATTAATATTTGATTTAATATCTGCTAAAATGGGTTAAACCAACAAATAATTAAATTTGAATTATTGACCGCGCCTAAATCCAATGCTATCTTATTATTAATTATATAAGATGTTGTGAGTAAATATAATATAAATCCATCATAATCAATATATGATGATGAAATAGTGATGAATATTTTATTTTTCACTAATTATTCTATAAATACGAGGTCTTCAACATGAGTTAAAAGACACATCAAGTAATATCGTTGATCTTTCCCTAGTATTCCCCTCTCCTTACGGTGCATTGCTACTTCGTTATTAATTAGTTTATTATATTTCTCTCTCCTTTCTATTTTCTAACTATTTTAAATGTCAAAAGTAAATATGTCACCAAAAATAAACAAATGTCAAAAGTGAAATTTTTTTTAAATTGACCAAATTACCCTTCTCAGATTTTGCATAAAATCTATGCATTTGATGGCCTTATCAAAGCTTTCTCTAAAATTTTGTCAATCAGTGAAAAACAATGCAAAATTAGGGCAGCAGCAGAGAAGGAGGGGGCGAAGAGGGCATAGGAGAAAGAAATCAATAAATAATATATTCCTTCCGGTTCTAAATAAAGATCTCTTTTGTAATATTTACACTATAAATAAGGTCATATATTTAGGACCGGAAGAGTATATTGCTAAGCCACATGAAAAATTGCCAACGAGGCAGGTCCAAAAAAAAGAAATCAAGAGCAATAAATGTACATATGAAAAAGAAAACCGAAAAACAGGACCATTTCAATAAGGGCATAATAGTCAATGCAATAGATATTAATTAATACTAGTAGTATTAATTCATGCAGGCGTTTTTATTGTAAATTTTTCCAGTTGCTAGCCCAACCAAATATCTCTTTCAGTATCCAAATCTGTTATAGAGAATCCACATATCATCCAATATCTAAAACAAAGAGATCTTTTTCGGCTAAATCTTGGTTGTGTTTTCTCTATAGTCAATGCTTCCCCGTAGATTGATGAAACCGGAGGGAACTATGGACAACCTCCTTGATGAAGAACTGAAACTGGAAATCCTCCTACACTTGCCCATCAAATCTCTCGTGTGTTTAAAGTGTGTGTCCAAGTCATGGCGCTCGAGAATCTCAAACCCTAATCTTTTTAACGGTACATTGAAGAATATCGTTATATTGAATTATTAATCTCATTATGATTTTTGTTTTCCCACCATTTTTAGTGTTCCTAACCAATGATGCAAGGCGGAATATATAGGGCAATGCCAATTGTGCCCCCATCTTTCTAATAAATATATGTATCTATTCTTTACTTTTTAAAACCAAATATGTTACTCGATCGGTCTCACAGTTTTTGTTTTGAAATTTTAGCTTACTGGCATGTATAATCAATTGTGTTATGGATATAATATTTATATGGATAATTAATGTTTTCCCCATGTCACTTCAAATCAAATAATTTCGAAAAAGTTGTGTAACTCACACAATTCTTATTTCCCTACGTGCATCACACACTACATGACATTTGATTGGAGGTTTACACTACATCACTAAATAAAATAAAAACGAAGCAAGGGTTTACGAAGGTTACCAGATCCGAATCCAAATGAAATATTTAAGTATACATGCACACACACACACACACATATAAAGCTCACTTGTTCAATGAACTGGAAATATGCTTACTATGAACCTCTTATCAATTTCTTAGAGTTAATTAATTAATGTCAACGAAATCAAATATGCTTGGTTTGCAAGAGATAGGGAAAAAAAATAGTTTCTAAATCCTACTGGTGATCATTATAGGAAATAACGTGTATTCCTCGAATCACACGCCTACTTAGAAAAATGCGATCCTGGGCGGTTTTAAAAGAAAAATGATGTCTTCGTATTATTAGCCGTGTCATCTCATGTTTACTCCAAGTGTTTCTTATCAAATTTTCATTTCATGAAAAGTTAACTTACGATTGACTTTATCTCACAGATACTATCTCTTATTCTTAATATGAAACCTCGTTTGATTTTTATTTTAGTCCTAAGTACAAGACTCAAATCTACTTTGTCTCTAATATTTGTGTTTTTTTTCCCCTAAAATAGTCCTTTTAATAATGATAGTTCTAGTCAACACACTTGATTAGCAAGGATATTTTAGAAAAAATAATACCTATTTATTACAAATAACTAACTTAACTTATTTTCTTAATCTTTTCAAATTAGTTAACTAGTTCTTATAATTAGGACTGAAGGTAGTATTAATTAAGAGAAATTGATAAAAAAATTCCTGTTTGAAAATTTAATTGTTTAAGAGGATTTGAATTTGAGTACGTGCAAATGTGATTTGTGAGTGTAACATTTTTTTTCCTATGTGTAACATATCTTTCGTTGCGTATAAATAATTTTTGTATTGATTATTGTTGCACATCATTGATGATATGTTACCTGTTGTAAAAGATATGTTGCATAGAAAAGAAAATATATTACATCCGCTCAAATTCAGGTCTTTTTAACTAATTAAATTTTTAAATAGAGATTTACCAATTTTTCCTATTAATTACTTTCATATCCCATGTTTATGTTTTTTTGTTTGGCCTGACACATCCAATGTTTTTTTTTGGAGCTGAGACACACCCGATGTTAATGTCAATAACAATGCTTGTGTGAGTAGAGAGAGACAGAGAGGAAAGTGTTGGGGGTATCAGGTCAGTACTCATCACGACACCATTTAAAATTTGATATGGATGATTCAGATTTAAAATTTTTAATATTTAATTTTTCAAGAACTTTATTTTTGAAAGAACTATTAGTTATAAGATTATCTTTATTTTAAATTTTGTATCTATTGAAATAAAAGATTAATTAAAATATATAAAATATTTAAATTTAATCTGAACTATCCCAAATTAATTTGAATGATTCAAGTTTCGATGAATACTCTATACTCATTATTTGTAAGGAGCATGAAGAGAGAATTTGGGGGGGGGGGGGGGAGAGAGCTAGCACCGTTTTCTTGGCATGTTCTACATAGAATCAGATTAGACGAGGTTGCAAGCAACTCAGTCTTTTTTGACAGCTAAAATTCTTCGAACGTGATCCAACCATCATGCTCTTTTTCTACGTCAACCCACAGAAATTCAAATACTCTTCCGGTCCTAATTATAAGACCCAATTGACTTATTTGAGGAGATTAAGGAAGTAAGTTAAGTTGGTTATTTATAATAAATAAGTGTTGTTATTCCTAAAATATCTTGCTAATTAAGTATATTGGCTAAAACTATCATTATTAGAAGGATTATCTTGGAAAAAAATGCATAAATATAAGAGAGAAAATGGGTTGGGTCTTATAATTAGGACCAAATAAAAAGTCAAATTGGGTCTTATAATAAGGACCGGAGGAGTATAATATGAACCAGAGGTTTTAATGCCAAAAAAAAACAATACAAGGTTGACTTTATATATGTATTTGAGACTTTTAGTGATTTTATGGAAGCCGTCAACTTAATCACTGTATAGAGACTTAAATATGAACCACCCTCATAATATCAGGACACATGAAATGCACAGAAATATACGGTTGGACTTTTGAATGGGCATTGGGATATATTTTTGTGAACACTATGCATAGGGAAGTTAATTGCATAGCTAATATTTTAGGTGGGATTTTGAAAAACGCTACTACCAAACGGTCAAGAACTCTAAAATGAGGTTGAAATGGTGATGAATGATGAAAGCTAAGATTTTGTTATTTATACTCTTGTGTTTTTATTGGTAGTTAACAAATAATTTCATTTTACATTGAGAAAATGATGTCGGCCATATGTATTGCAAAGAGTCATATAGAAGTTGGAGAGGAATTGGGTAAATGATTTGGTTTTTTATATATATATAATTTTAAAAGGAAAAATTGGTAAAAAATCCTGCTTGAAAATTTAATTGGTTAAAAAGACATGAATTTAAACAAGTGTAAGTATAATATGTGAGTGCAATATATCTTTCACTGTATGCAACATATCATTAATAATGTGCAACAATTATCAATACGAACACTATTTGCACACAATGGAAAAAATGTTACACTCACATATCATATTTATATATGCTCAAATTCAGGTTTTTTTAGTTGATTAAATTTTCAAACAGGAATTTTTTACCAATTTTTCTATTTTAAAATACGTGTATTGAATATTTTGGATTATTGGGACTAATAGTTATTTTTGTGCTATAACAGTATTTACAAAAGCACTATGTGCATTTGGGAGGTTTTTTAGCTCAATGTTTTTCAAAGTATTAAAAAAAGATCAATGTAATTTTTTTATTTGTAAATGATTAATGTTAAGTTTTAAGTAATTAACATTAGTATTTTAATGAAAGCGACAGCATTATTTATTTTTAATATTTTTTGAAATGACAATGAGCCAAAAAGATTTATGAATACTCACAATTTCTTTATTTCTTTATGAATACGACAAAAATTATCCTTAACACCAGTGTATGGATATAAAGCAGAAAACCAGGCAACAAAGAAGACTATGGCACATGTGAACAAATAGATAAGACGTGCTTTTCTTTTTCTGGGTAAGAAATACTTCTAATTATAAGACTCAGTTGACTAATTTAAAGAGATTAAAGAAGTAAGTTAAGTTAGTTATTTGTAACAAATAAGTGTTGTCATTCTTAAAATATCCTTACTAATTAAGTGTGTTGGTAGAACTATCATTATTAGAAGGACTATCTTGAAAAAAATGTATAAATACGAAAGACAAAATAGATTGGGGTCTTATAATTAAGACCCAACTAAAAGTCAAACGGGATCTTATTTAAGGATCGGAGGTAGTACAATTTAGTGGCCGTCAAGAATTAACCTCTTCTCTACGCAAGCCAGCTTCTGCGTCAATATGAACCGCAAAAAGCAATTTATTTGTTACCTTTTTTTCTAATTAATATATTATATTGCAACGATTCATCACATGACAGGGATGGAGAACTTATTGCAGGGGATTGGCGTTTGAGATTAATTCGTCAAAGTTTATATAAATTGTTTTTATATACATATATATTCCACTTTTGATTTTGATGGCAAATATATAGTATTCCACTTTTTCAATGGAAATATTGCACTTTAAATAGTAAATACCATTATAATCAAGTGTCCCGATTTAGTTTAGGCTTTTGAGATGGCAATTTTTTATTGTGTAAACCTCATGACAATATTTAAAAAACTATTAAAGGAATAAAAGTGAAGTTGATGGAGCAAAATGAAACGTGCAGAGAAGAATTGGAAAAAAAAAAAGGGAAAGAAAGAAAGAAAGATAACGATTGGATGAAACTCAATGAGAAAAGTTTTGGATAAAAAATTCAAAAAAGATACCTAATTTATGACTTATAAATATTATAATTTAAATTATTTATATTTTATTATATGTGCATGATCATGGTGATTATTTTAGTCTGCTCATGATAGATTTTATTTTTGTTTTTTTAGATGAAATCAAAGAACGTTTATTTAAGTAAAAAGAAATGTTAAACTAATAATTTGGCCCATTAATTTTTTATATCGTTTTAAATTAATTTTTAAGTTGAAATCGTGTCGTAATTATTTTGAAAGTCTCAAAATCACCGTAAAAGATTGCTTTTTCTAATTGTCATGTACATCGTGGTTAGGGGACGGATCTGAAATTCATTTTAATTGTTATTGTACTCTTACAACCACATGAATTTTTTAGTAATTAAAAAGGATTTTTTTTTTTTATAGTTAGGGTTTGATCCCTAATGATGTTTGGCCAGCACCAAAATTCTTTCAGAAAGTCTATGGTACCAAAAGATTAGTCACTGCTACATATTTTTTGTATGTATTTTCGTTTTTGAAATGAAGGTATCAAAAGTACATGTAATTTTGTTTTTGGCCAATCAAAAGACATGTAATTGCGGTTGTAGCTTATGATTCAATTCAGAGCTTTTTATCAAATTTATTACTCCTCTGGTCTTAAATGTAAGACCGGAGGAGTATTTAATAGTGCGTGTATTAACACGCACACACATATATGCATAAGGGAACTTCTAAAGTGTTTTTTTTTTTTTTAAAATATGTTGGGTATGTAAAATGAAATCCTTTGAAGAAAGATTAATTAAGACTGAAGATAAAGTTATCAAAAGGTTTAGTCGTTAATTTAGTTGTTAAGACTTGCTGTTGTTATATGTAAATCTCATATATATATATTCACCAGAAAAATCTCATATATATATTTATTGTCAACACAAATCTCATAAATATTTTCGAAATATACATACTAAGTAGAATTATATTAATTAATTAATTAAGCGAAGTAGTTTTTTTGAATTGAGGGAGGTAGTTAAAAGTTAACTAGGAAATCCCAATAGAAAATAAGGAGTTGAGAAAAACGAAAGCGAGTGGCTGACCATCTGGAAATCTTGAGTAGCCAGAAAAGGTAGTAAATAAAAATCAAACTTGTCCAGTCTTTGACGTTCCCTTCGTCCTCAATTCAACTGACTCTTCCTTCATTAAATTATTCCTCACAGGGAAATCACAACAACGCATCCTGATTTTTTTCCTCCTCTGCAAATCGGGATCCAAACGACTAACGAACACACTGTTCAAGTTTCGATTTCCTCAAGGTGTCTGTATTGCTGGCCTTCGATTTCAATGGCGACGGAGCAGTTGATGTCCGGTGGTGGTGGTCCCCGCTACGTTCAAATGCAATCGGAGCCATCGGCGGCGATTTCTTCTTCTGCGTCGGTCCGGTTTGGCGGTGGCCCTGAGCATACTCGAATTTTCGATGAGTTGCCAGAAGCCACCATCGTCTCCGTCTCTCGTCCCGATGCCGGCGACATCAGTCCCATGCTTCTGTCTTACACAATAGAGTTTCGTTATAAACAGGTGCCGTCTTTCTCTTGTGTTTTTTGACATTTTCTTTTTAGGAGGAATTCGTCGAAGTCCTGCGATCACAGGCTGAGATCCTGTTCCATCTTATGCATGAACATCGGAATTGGGATGATCAAACCATTCATAGTGTAGGAAAATCAAATTGGGTCGGATAATCGAGTGATTTAGTTTCTTATGCTGTACTTGCATCCCGAGTACGTAACTTTACCAGCAAGCATAATGCAATCGGTTGTGCTGGTTTGATGGATGTAAGCAGTTCTGGTCTCAAAAGGGTTGCTATATAGTGACAGCATTAAGCTTGGCTTTTTTCTTTCGGTTTCCTCACTTGACAATATCTCCTTTTAGAAATATTTTCTTTTGCAGCTTGATTTTGTGACTTCTTCCTCCGTTCTTTTGCTGATCGATTGATATGCATTCCACAATTGGCATTCACCTCTCAGTGTTTTAGACGTGGGGTTTTGAGCCTGTTTCGCTGAATGTTTTTATCTGTACTATTGGGAAAAAACCCTTCTTTTTCTCTTTCTCCCCAAACAAAAAGGGGGGAAATCCCTTCACTGCAGCTTAGATTTTAGAAAGATTTGCTATAGGAGTGTACTCATGCAACTATTTTTCATGCCAGTTCAAGTGGCAATTGGTGAAGAAGGCTTCTCAAGTATTTTATTTGCATTTTACATTGAAGAAACGTGCCTTTATTGAGGAAATTCATGAGAAGCAAGAGCAGGTATTTATCAAACAATGTTGTCCATTATTATTTGGTTACTCAGCTATTAATGCTCTGCACTGACATATAATCGTTATTCATTCTTTCAATCTATGCAACACTTTTCCATTTTATTTGATGATATCTTGTATATCTAGCAAAGTTTGGATTGTAATGCAATGTTCACTGAAATATTACATTAAAGGTTAAAGAATGGCTTAACAATCTAGGAATAGGAGAACACACTGCTGTGGTGCAAGATGATGATGAAGCTGATGATGAAACTGTTCATCTGCATCATGATGAAAGTGCGAAGGACAGGTGACAATCAATACTTTTTGTTTGTTTGTTTTCTTTTGTTTTTTTACCTTTTTGTTCTTTGTGTTTGAGTAAACTTGCAATTTCCATGCTAATAATAGCTGGTTTTTGGCCCAGAGATGTCCCATCTAGTGCTGCCCTACCAATTATACGGCCAGCCTTAGGAAGACAGGATACTATGTCAGACAGAGCAAAGACTGCAATGCAAGGATATTTGAATCACTTTTTAGGAAATATCAATATTGTTAACTCTCCAGAGGTATGCTATATGCATGCAAAACTGAAAATAAATTATTTTTACCATGTTATCGAAGTGGTTCTTCCTATGCTTTGTCATTGATTTATTGTCTTGGCGTGGGTGCATCATATATGATTAAATCAAGACATGTTAATATGATATGAAGTTTGGACTCGTATCAATGTTTCTTTTCTGGTTAATGCTCATGCGTATGTTTGATTTATTGTTACATTTCTGCAATTTTAAAATCATTATTTACCTGTCTTTACAAGAAGCAGCTGATTACTGTAGGTTTGCAAGTTTTTGGAGGTATCAAAGTTATCTTTCACAACCGAGTATGGCCCTAGCCTGAAGGAAGATTATGTCATGGTGAAGCATCTGCCAACACTTCCTAAGGGTGATGATTCCAGAAAGTGTTGTTTATCTCGGTGTTTTAGTTGTTGCAATGACAACTGGCCTAAGGTAATGAAATCCTGAATCTAAAGATGGGTGATATGCTGCACTTGCTTTGGTTTCTTAGAAGCAAAGCAACTAGCATGTGGTGTCTGGGCACTACTAAAGTCATACAATAATACATGCATGCATTGATATGGCTTAAATGGGGGGAACCTGCAATGTGCCTGCAAAGCAGGAGATAGTCGATACATTTATGTATTTCATTTCTCTCTTTTGAAACTCTTAAAACCAGAACTTGTCACATACTGATATGCTGTCATGTTGTTGGAAGTTTCTTAAATATAGAAGAATTTATTCAGATTGTGGGCCTAGATCATTAAATTAGAATGGCATTTTTTTCTCAGTTGAAGTGTTTCAAGAGCATCAAGAAAAATCGTTATGAATACCTAAGGTTTTGTTGTGTTTCCATGTGTGATGTGCCATATCTCATGTTCATTCAGTGTTCAGTCTTCCTAGATTGTTCTTTATGGTTTGATATTATACTTGCTAATGGGCTCATTTTATATGGCATGAAGCATTATTGGCGTACTGATGTTATTTTAGTTGTTTTTGAGTGACTTCTCTTAGAATTGATGTAAATTCTCCGTGTTACTTTCTTGTTGGGTGCAGGTTTGGGCTGTCTTAAAACCTGGATTCTTGGCATTGCTGGCCGATCCATTTGATAGCCAACCTCTGGACATAATTGTTTTTGATGTTCTACCTGCCTCAGATGGGAATGGGGATGGTCGTTTATCACTGGCAAAAGAAATGAAGGAGAAAAATCCTTTACGCCATTCATTCAGGGTGAGAGTGGTGCTCAATCTCTGTTGTTGTTTCATAGTCTTGTGGCGTTAAAGTATAGAGTGACGGTTCTTATTATCTCAGGTTATCATCATAATCATAATTTTTTAATAGTTATCAGATCACCAGTGGATGTTATCAGTTGTCTAATGAAAACATAATAAGGAAGCTAAATTTTAACTCTTCATATTTTCTAGGTGACTTGTGGAAACCGGAGCATTAGGATTAGAGTGAAAAGTACTAGTAAAGTCAAAGATTGGGTTGCTGCAATTAATGATGCTGGACTCAGGCCGCCTGAAGGATGGTGTCATCCTCATCGCTATGGTTCATTTGCTCCGCCAAGAGGCTTGATTGAAGATGGAAGTCAGGCTCAGTGGTTTGTTGATGGCAGGGCAGCATTTGAGGCCATTGCTTCTTCAATTGAGGATGCAAAATCAGAGGTTAGTTTACCCAGCACCAGAGCACTCAAGACCATTTTGACAAGTTAAAAGTTGTTAATAGAACAGTAACAATTACGGTCTTCAAGTTTATATACAATGAAAGGTTTATGCAGATATTTATATGTGGATGGTGGGTTTGCCCAGAACTGTATTTACGGCGTCCTTTTCATACGCATGCTTCATCAAGGCTTGATAATTTGCTGGAAGCAAAAGCCAAGCAAGGGGTTCAGGTGAATCTAAAATGGAAACTTTTGGACATTCCCTTTACAATGCCCCCTCAATTTTAATGAAATAATTATTGTTTTGTATTGATTTTGTTATTGCTTTGTCTAAATTGTAAAACACATTCATTCTGATCTTATTAAGTATGATTCTGGTTTTGAATCAATTGTTTGATTTGTCAAGCGTAACAATGTTTAAACTTTCACTGGAAGCACTGTTTGATCCCTATAGTTGTACAAAAATACATAATCTCGTGTTTAAATTTTCACTGGAGTGACTGCTACTGCTAGATCCCTTAGTTGTTTGCGGACATGCCCGCCCCCCCTCTGTGGATGTCTTTTTGGATAGGGTATAATAATGCTTTGTTATTAAATGAATAATATTGTTTGACAGCAGAAGCTAGCTTTTAAGAAATATTTTCCAATTCAGAATGGAACATATAGAAGCCACTAAGGGGATTCAATTAAATAATTGAGTGCTTAATAATTCACTAGCCTACGAGCTGATGAATTTCTTGTGATGCTTGTGTGACTTGCATTCACCTAGATGATGTATGTTTGAATTGACTTATATCTGTTGGCACTTGGCACCAATGCTCTTATTTTTAATGCAGATCTACATTCTTCTCTACAAAGAGGTGGCTCTTGCTTTGAAAATTAACAGTGTCTATAGCAAGAGAAAGCTTCTTAGCATTCATGAAAATGTGAGGGTACTACGCTACCCTGATCACTTTTCTTCTGGTGTCTACCTGTGGTATGCATATTCCTATAAAGCTTTATTATCTTTTGCATTCTAATTTGTTTTGCTTTCTTTGAAAGCATGCATTATAATGCACACATTTTGTTTCTGATATGTGCTCATGATTATATACAGGTCACACCATGAAAAACTGGTAATTGTTGATCATCAGATTTGTTTTATTGGAGGACTGGATTTATGCTTTGGTCGTTATGATACATCTGAACACAAAGTAGGAGATTCCCCTCCGATGATATGGCCAGGAAAGGACTATTATAACCCGAGGTTAGTTTCCGGCATCATAAAAGATTAAGAAAGCGAAGAAACTACATGTATGTTCTCATAAACCAAAAGATAGGAGCACAAAAGTAGAATGATGATATGCTGTTCTTCTATGGCTGAATCAGTATGTTCACAGATTGCATTTTCCTGTAGATGCAATGCCATTTAGCAATCATGTAGAAAAATAGTGTAGTTGCCTGTGCAAATTCACTTGGATTCTTTTTGTCATACTTGTGTCTGTTTGATTCTGATTAAGAGAACTATGCATTAGGTTGATCATTCTTCTTGTTCATCAAAGACCGACTGTCCTTGTTTGGATATAATTAATGGTTTCCTGTTCCATTTTAACAGGGAATCTGAGCCAAATTCATGGGAAGATGCAATGAAAGATGAATTGGATCGTGTAAAGTATCCTCGAATGCCATGGCATGATGTTCACTGTGCCCTTTGGGGACCACCTTGTCGTGACATTGCTAGGCATTTTGTTCAGCGATGGAATTATGCAAAGGTAAGGCTTTGTCGACAATCTCATTGTAGCTTCAAGCATTCTAGTCCTAAATTTCAACGAGATATAATGCAGTTCTTGTTTCTCCCATCAGAGGAGCAAAGCTCCAAATGAGCAAGCAATTCCATTACTTATGCCTCAGCATCATATGGTTATCCCACACTACTTGGGAAGAAGCAAAGAGATGGAGATTGAAAGCAACAATACTGACTATTGTATAGGAATGAAGAGGGAAGATTCCTTTTCCTCATCCCAAGATATTCCTCTACTTTCACCTGAGGATTCTGGGGGGATGAATGCTTCTGTAGGAGACACTGGATTAAATGAGTTAAGTTCCTTCTTTCATCGCCTTGACCAGCCAACCAGGGTCAGCAACGGTCGTCCTTTCCCTTTCCGGAAGGCCAAAATTGAACCAATAGGTCCAGATACACCAATGAAGGGCTTTGTAGATGATCTTGACTCTGTGGATCATCATGGGAAGATGCCTACGGATAGAGTAGCTCACGTTAGTGTACCTAATTCAGGTCCAGAATGGTGGGAGACACAAGAACGGGGCGACCAGGGAAGTTTTGCAGACGAATCTGGCCAAGTTGGTCCTCATGTTTCCTGCCGTTGTCAGGTGTGTTGTTCTCATTCTGTCCAATTGTCATTGTTTCTCAAATATAGATGTGTCAATGACTCTGCATTTATCCTTTTCTGTGATATATTTATATAATCGGAACCAGAGCTTCATATATTTGAAAGGTGATAAAAGCTATTTACATCAGTCTACGTTACTTGTTTAGAGAAGCAAAATATCTTGAATCTCCTTGCATTTATCAATTTTTGTGCAACATATACTCTAAAATACCATAGTAGGTCAGTTATACAGGTACTTATTTTTGTTTATTTTGGACCCTCTTTCTACCATTCCAAATATCCTCTAATTGTCCCTTAGGTCATCCGGAGTGTTAGTCAATGGTCTGCTGGAACTAGCCAAACAGAAGAGAGCATCCACAATGCTTATTGCTCTCTTATTGAGAAGGCAGAATACTTCATCTACATTGAGGTATAATGATTTCCTTGCTTATCATCCTTACATGTTGTAGGAGGAAAATCCCAGGCTCTCATTATATTGCTTTGTTTCCACTTTGACTTGGAGTTTGGACAATGATTGATCTGATGAACTCAATGCATGATTGACTAATTAGAAGTAGAGTTTTAGCTGTCTCGTTGATATCACGCATATGTTATCTCCTGTATTATTAAGATGTTAAAAGAAAGGGCATGTCTACATTAACTACTGTTTAATTTTAAGATAACTTCTTCCTTTAATCTTGAGATTTTCACTTCTCTAACATTATTTGAAAAGGGGAAAAAGCTTATTTTTCATGAGCAGCTGCATAGGCCAACGCCACAGTGCAAGCTTTTGCACCTGTTGTAAACCAACCTTTGTGCCACTTTTTGGACTGCTGGACTGAATCTCTGACTGAGAACTTATTTCAGCAAATATAATGGGAATCCCATTTCAACAGTCCTAAAACTGCCACTCATTGTTTGCTTTGCTAGTCAGCCATATCCGTCGATATTCCATTTTTCCTTAATACTGAATATAATTAATAGTCTATGCATCCCTTCTTTCTATGCCAAAGGCCAAAGCCCTGCAACAGGACCAGTGGTGAGCTGAGTGGAGTGCATGTATAATTAATGGATATCTCCCCACTATAATGAACTATTAGTTGACATATCAGAATACCTATCAATTAGGTTTTCGAAGAGGAAGTTGCTCTTTCTCTAATTATTCAGGTAATAGCTTGTATGAAGACCCAAAACTGTATTTTAATTACTGGAAAGCCACACGGGAACAGATATACTTATATGAAGGGTAAAACATGTTTTTAAGGAAGGGGATCAATTGCTTTTTTTATTATAAAAGTAATTTAATAAGAACAGAGAGGATATTGCAATTAGCAGGCAGCCTGGTATTGTGAATAAGAGCCCTTCTTAGATAAATGGACAAGAAAACTAATTAACACAGGCAAAAAGAGAGGGGTTTGGGGTTAGTAAAGACCTTATCTCAAGAGGTCAAGTATAAAACTATTTAATAACTTGTCATACAGTAAAAGGAAAATACAGTGCCTCGTTAAATATAATTGAGCAGTCTGTTTTATCTATAATAAATTCAATATTGATTTGTGTGTATTTTGTGCATTGCCTTTTATGGACTTGACTGAATCAGCTTTGATGAAGTGATATAATAAATATAGTTTTCATATTCCCTTGTTTGGAGAGTTTTCCCTAGTTTCGTATGATTGATCTTTATTCTAAACCTTGTTCTGATTGTTCTATTTCATCCTTGGCAACTCGCTCCAGAATCAATTTTTTATCTCAGGTCTTTCAGGAGATGAGATGATACGAAATCGTGTTTTGGAAGCTTTGTATCGACGGATTATGCGAGCTTACCATGACAAAAAGCCCTTTAGGGTTATAATTGTCATACCACTCCTGCCTGGCTTCCAGGTTCTAATTATTTATTTATTTTTTGTGACTGCTTCAACACTAACAACTATATATTTTTTCCCCATGGATGTTGGACTTACTTCTTAATTATGTAGGGAGGCCTGGATGATAGCGGTGCAGCATCCGTCAGAGCAATAATGCATTGGCAGTATCGAACCATTTGCAGAGGACAAAATTCTATATTACATAATCTGTTAGAATTTCTCGGTTCGAAAATACATGATTACATCTCTTTCTATGGCCTTAGGGCATATGGTAAACTCTTTGATAGCGGTCCTGTGGCAACCAGCCAGGTATTCTCTTGCATTTATACGTCTTGTGGTTCAGCAAATAGACCCTGTGAAGTTAATCATTGACGCATACTGCAGGTTTATGTTCACAGTAAAATCATGATTGTTGATGACTGTACGACTTTGATCGGATCTGCTAATATCAATGATAGGAGTTTACTTGGCTCCAGAGATTCTGAGGTACCCCTTCTTTACATTTTGCAATCATGCATTAACAACCTTTTTCTTGTGGAAATGAGCCAGATAGTCCATGTTCCATCAAACACTTGTTCTACATTTTGTAACTCTGTCCTTTTTAAAATATAAAAAAGAAAAGGATTTTTTTTTCCGGCCAGATCTGGGGTAAAGCGTGCATCTTTATTATTTGGTTTGTCATGAATATCTTTGTATTTTTCTCCAGGTGATCTGTTGGGCCTGAAATATGGAGTCTTATAAGTAGGGCTAGAATAACTAAAACTTGTTTCTGAACCTCTCAATTTGTGGTGGTCTCAAAATGATTTTCCTGCTGCCAACATCTTTCTCACCCAAAAAATTTAAAATGGTGATTAATCTGTTGCTATATGCTTCATTTCTGATTTTCTATCGGGTTCTTGGCCAGGAAAAAAAAAATCTATTGTTAGCTAATGCATAATTGTTGCACCCTTTCATCCCTTTGTCTCTTCTGTGAATTTCAGATCGGTGTAATTATAGAAGACAAAGAACTGATTGATTCGTTTATGGGTGGGAAATCACGGAAAGCAGGAAAATTCTCTCTAACTCTGCGGTTGTCATTATGGTCTGAACACTTAGGTCTGCAAGCAGGGGAGGTTAGGGCATTTCAATCCTTCCAAGAGAGTAGTTGTTTTATGTTGTTGTTCTGGAATGACTCTGTTTATTTCCTCAGATCAATCGAATAATGGACCCAATTGCTGACTCGACATATAAGGATATTTGGATGGCAACAGCGAAGGTAATCAGAAAATATAATGTTAATATGTCTTACCACGTGTAAGTGGAACGGTGTTGAATATTTATGGCAATATCCTTGAACTTTTCAACGTGAGGGTTTATGTTCATCGGTGTGTTTGGCTGTGGCCAATATCTTTTCACTTAATGGTTGCAACTGTTGGATTGAATTATTTAGGTGATGGTGATTGTATAATAAAATGTCTACTTCCCATGTGTTTATTACCTAATGTAATAGCAAACACCTAAAAGTTGTATCAAAGATTTCTAATTCTTCATTCTTTTTCTGAATATTTTGTTGGCAACGAAATGTCTTGGATATTATCCTGACTGTTATGGCATAACAAATATGCTAATGATTGTATTTGGATACATCTTGCAGACAAATACTGCGATTTATCAGGATGTCTTTTCTTGCGTACCTAATGATCTGATACACACCAGGTATGACAACGGCCATTTTCATCCTTCTTCCTGTTTTGGATGGTTCTTAATCTCATCTAATTTCTCGTCCTGCTTTTTAAATCATGTTACTGTGCAGACTTGCTTTCAGGCAAAGCACAACTCTCTGGAAAGAAAGAATTGGTCATAGTACCATTGATCTAGGAATAGCCCCAGAAAATTTAGAATCCTATCACGATGGAGGCGTCAAGAAAACTGACCCTTTGGAGAGATTGGATTCAGTGAAGGGTCATCTTGTTTCCTTCCCCTTGGAGTTCATGTGTCAAGAAAACCTAAGACCTGCTTTTAATGAAAGCGAATACTATGCTACTCAGGTTTTCCATTAAAATGTGATTGGCTGAAGTGTAAATCATCAGGCATTTTTTTATCACAGGGAAATTTTAATTTATGTTTGCAGAATTTCTTTTTATTAAAATTCTGCAAGAGCGAGATGAAAGGAAAAGAGAGGCTCTAGTTAGATTTTTTTTTTTTAATCAGGTTCCTTTGTAGAATTCATATATAAGAGCTAGTTGTATAAAATCCATTGATCAATAAAACACTGATTTACTTTCATGCTTTTCTTCATTACATTCTTATCTTTCTCATCTCCGGACAGTATTTAGTATTTACAGAAGTTCCCTGTAGAGTTCTTCTACGCGAGGTCCAGAACCTTTTACACTTGCCTAATTCCTGAAAGGGACTCTTTGACCTACAATTAGTTAATATTCATGTCATTTTTTTCCCCTTAAAAAGCTTTTTTTTTTTTTTTTGGCCCACGAAGCATATTTTGTATCGAGGCATTATTTTCTGTAAAATGAAATATATTCTTATCAATTATTAATATTAGGTTAAAAAAACGAAAATAATAACATTCCACAGAAGCAATTACCCATAGGTACCCAGCAGAAAAAGAATTAAATATAGAAATGTTTGGAAAATTCATACTTACGAGTTCCAAGTCAGACTGACATGTTTGCAAGTGAAATTTGTACAAGTTAATGTTAAAAATTATGTTTAAAATTAAATGTTTGTATTTAAAAATAGATTCTCAAAATTGTATAATTTGAAAAAAAATGAATTTTTTTTAGTGAAAAAAAGAATTTTTAGTAATGCCGATGCGGTCTTT